CTCGTTATATAATTTGTTGTAGATATCACATAAAGATCTCATAGGATTATAAGATTCATAATTGGATTTAGCCAAGCAAAGTTTAAGTGGTATGTAATTTCGAGTATTACGAGCAGGAATATTAAAATTTAATTCACCGGTTAAAAACTGTGAATCGATTTCGCCACGCAAAAGTTTTATAATAAATAAAGCTCTTAACATTAAACGTCTCTTTTCCAGTGTCGGAAGATCAATTAGTTTTAGGCGATTCTCATATGGTGGAAGTGTATCATTTATATCCCATCCTAATCCTCTGAGAGCAAATAAAAGAAATTGGGTTTGTACTGATTCCAATTTAGCAGAATATGTTTTGTAAAAAGGACTCCACAATACGCAACCGTATTCTAAAGTGGGCCGAACCAAACTAATAAATAAACGCTTAGTCACATAAGGATCGTCAAATTCTTTTGACCATCTTTTTATAAAACCCAGCAATGACTTGGCTTTATTTACACATGAATCAATATGCAAATTAAAACGCAATTTATTGTCTAAAATTACACCAAGATCAACGAATGAGTCTACATTGTCCAATTTGTAAGAACCAATGAGGTAATCACTTTTAAAAGGTTGTGTTCTAAACAAAGACAGTTTTTTACATTTCTTGAGATTTAGCGTCATACCATTAACACTGCACCAATTAACAAGGCAGTAGATATCATGTTGCAAGTTAAGGGAACTAATGTGAGAGTCCATATTACAAAAAAGTTTGACATCATCAGCAAACATTAGGATCTTAGAGTAACGTATAGCCGTTGGAAGGTCATTTAGATACAATACAAAAAGTAGAGGACCTAAATGGCTACCCTGGGGGACACCAGAGTACACAGTTATCTGTTTAGAAAGAACATTATTGAAAGAAACTCTCTGTGTACGCCCTTGCAAATAAGATGATATCCATGATAAAAATAATGTTGCGAAACCCATTTTGTCAAGTTTATGTAATAATAATAAGTGATCCACTTTGTCAAAAGCCTTACTGAAATCAGTATATATAATATCAGTTTGGCATTTTATTGAAAACCCCCTGTGTACAGAACATATAAGTTCTAATAAATTAGTTACAGTTGACCTACCCTTTACAAATCCATGTTGGTAAGGCGATATTATAGACGAAACAAAGTGCGTTAGTCTACGCGAGACTAAAAACTCAAACAATTTCGGTATTGCACTTAATTTTGCAATACCCCTATAATTTTCGATGACACTTCTATTATCAGCTTTATGCAAAGGAATAATAAAACTAGATCGCCATACTTGAGGAAAATAACCAGATGTCAAAGAATAATTGAATATAGTGGTTAGAGGTAAATAAAGCTCATATGCGCATGACTTTAAAATGTAAGCAGGTACTCCATCAGGACCAGGGGAATTACTACTTTTTAACGATAGAAGACCATTTAAAACCTCCTCCTCAGACAGAATAATTTGGGGGAAATAATTTAATCTACTAATATTATAAGCATAATTGTCATTATGATTGCATGAAGGCTTAGAGTAAGTATTTTGAAAAAAGTCAGCAAACAAATTTGCTATTTCAAGGTGGTCCCCTGATTCCCTGCAACCAAGTTTCATGCTACTAGGAAATTCGCGGACTTTACGTTTTGAATTTACAAATTTATAAAAGCTTTTAGGACTCTTCTGAAAGTTATTTTTCATTTTTCTTAAATAAATCGAATAAGACTTTAAATTTTCAATGTTATATTTACTTCGAGCTTGTGAATATTTTGTATAATTTAAAGTGGTATTACATTCTTTAAATTTTTTAAATAACCTACTTTTTATGTTGCGCAAGCGCCTAAGATGTGGGGTAAACCAAACTGGTCCTGAGTCAGAATAGAACTTCAATAATGGAACTGATATAGTTAACGCATTTTTAAGTACGATATAAAAATTTGAAATTTGCAATTCAATGTCACCTTCATGAGACCAACTTGAATTGGACAATATAGAACGAAGGAGATTAATATTAGTCTTAGAAAAATTTAATTTGTGAGGCTTAGTTTGTGGTTTCGCATAATTTGTTTGAATATTAAGTTCAAGGTCTATGACAAGTGTTGGGTGATATTTATCTTCCGGTTCTACAAAAGGTGAACATTTACTTAATGAAGTATTAACGGATGAAGAAAACACTAAGTCTAATATTTTACCTTTAAAATTATAAATATTATTGAGTTGATATAGACCTTGGTCAAAAATATTTTGCCAAAAATTTTCCATATCGTTAGACCGTACTGTTGACGAAACAGGTACATAATGTGCCGTGTCATCATCAAGGATCCACGATGTATTTGGTAAGTTAAAATCTCCAAGACAAATTAATTCAGAATTTGGCGAGTGAATATGTGAAACGTTTTTAATTAATTCAGAATGTTTTAAATAAATGTTTGAATCAGAATTTGGAGGAATATACGAACATGTTATGTAAATAGTTTGGTTAATGTAAGATAATTTCACACATACAAATTCAACATCTTGACTATCAGTAAGCATAACACGCTCAGAGGAAATGGAATTGTGAACTGCTATGAGTACCCCTCCACCAACTTTATTTAATCTATCATTTCTAAAAAGTTGGTATTGATCGGATAAGATTTCAGTATCACGGATATCCGGTTTAAGCCAAGTTTCTGTAAAAACGAGAATTTTAAGATCTGATTCAAAAGACTTTAAATATGTATTTTTAAGTTTAGTGTTTAGGCCTCTAACATTTTGATAAAGCAAAGATATAGATTTATTTAGTTTTTTGGGACATTCGAATCAGAAGGTAGCGTTATTGGTTTTACAAAATTTCGCCTTTTTCTAAATTCAAATTCTTTTACCAATGTACCGTCTGGCCAAAAAGAATCTTTTAACATTAGATCATACAATTTAGAATGAACCGTTATTTTAAATGATGATAAATCAGGTGGTATAGATGAGTTAAATTTCGAAATGTTATAATCATTATCAAGAACGTTTTGAATTTTGGACTTGATATAATTACTAATGTTATCTACAGAAGTACTAGGATGTAGTCTAGAAACAAATATACTTTTTCTGGGAGCAACTACGATTAAATCGTTATTACTAGTAGAAGGAGCATTTTCTGGAGCACATATGACTATTGGAGGCGGAATCTGTGGATTATTAGGGGTAACTTCTGAAGATCGGACTTCAACCGGAGTCTTTACACTAGGACTCGAAGCTGTTGCAGGATTTAAATTAGAGCATACAGATGAGTATAGCGCCGGAGGCGCGAGTTGATTCTCTGTGTGTAAAGTTCCCAGGTTTTTGCGTGGCGGAGCCACAGATGGTGAATTTAAAGTTATTAAATTTTCACCAGAAGCAATTGCCGAGGACTTTTTACGTTTTGGAGAACCATCAACATACTCAAAGTTCATAAAAAGCTTTTCAAAATTTTCAAGCCTTGTGTGAACTGCGTTGAAGTCCTTCTTCATGGCAGCTATTTCAATTTTAGACTCTTTGAAAAGACGATAAAAGTCAACTTCTAGAGACCTACAATTGATACATGCCCAACGAAGCCCATTTTTACGATCAGTTATTAAGTCAAAATGTCTACCGGTAAATCCTGCACATTTTAAATGACCATGTTTATCACATAGCCAGCAGGTTAATACTCTTTCGTTTAGGTTTGTTATGTTACATTTGTAAACACACTCCATTTTATTGTGCCTTAAGTTATGCTTTACAGGTATGAAATTATTGAAAGAAGATTATTATAAATTTACTTAGATGCCGAAAAGTATGCTTTAATTTCAAATTATTAAAACCAAATTTTAATTGTTGTTTTCAAACTGTATAGGGCAGTATTAACAACAATGAATACCAAACTGTATAACACAAACGTCACGACAAAGCAAAGCAAGACAAAACAATAAGTAAACACACTAAGCTAACCAAAAAATTATAGTTGCTTATTTATTTAAATAACACGTCTTATCACTGATTATCACAATGCACTTGTAGGGTGACTCAAAAATTCACAAAATCACTAACAAAACAATACAATTAACAATTGAATTTTAAATAAAACTTTAGTCACTATTGACAATGTTAAAAACACTTCTAAACACAACAAGGGTTGCCAGAATTTTTTTCTAGAGAGCTTCTTTTGAACAGACTTATCTCAAAATTGTTATTTGTGAAGAAGAGTTCTGCCTGAGAATTGGAGCAGAAATGCTCGTGTACCACAAATCGAATACATTTTTCGCAGGTTATTTTGAGAGATTTTAGCCATTCCACGAGAACGTACCTCTGCATGAATAAAACACAATTACCACTTAATTTTGCAGATTTAATGATTTTGTGAATTAAGCAGATTAAAAATTCAATGGAATGGAAAACATAATTAAATATCGAAAACGTCGGGGAATACTGGCGCTATTCGGTTGTAGTCGGGATGAATTTCACCAACCGATCCATAGAAACAATATTACAGGACAATATTACAAGAAATGAAAGAAAACGCAAAGATTTCCAAATTCAATGATACAGTAAATATTTTATGTAGGGAAATGTTGAGAATCTGCCCAACATCTTGGATGATGACATCGAAATTGACCCCATCGACCTCGATAAATAATTAATCGATGGTGTCCCATCAACACGATCAGAGAACTACTCTTCTTCTTGTCCGTCATTTTTCAACAATGTATGTGTATTTGATTTAGTCGAATTTGCAAGTCCAAACGACCTATTGAAACTTGCACAATATGGGAAGCTATCTTAACGAATTATTCGACAAAGGCAAAATACACAATGATGTTGGCAAAATAGCAGAAGAGTTACCAGATCTTAGGTAGCGCAAACTTTGACGTTAACAAGCATATTTCAATTCTTCTGAGAAATGGGTCCACTGATAACTATATTCAATAATGGTTATAGAATTTAATATTTTTTTAAATTGTTATCCGATTCTAATCTTTTATATTTTTCCTTCCGTCCTTCTTTCTTTGCAGCCCCCTTAGAATATAGACCACATCTACACACACACATACATCCATACACAATTAACTAAGGACAACTCTCGAACTGGCATTTGTAGCAGATTCATATCTGCTCAGAGAATGCCATATGAAAGAATGCACCACACACAACTGCATCAGACGACAACCGGTAACGGTATGATGGACTCGTTAAGCCTGCAATTACGAGATGCGGAAACGCGTCGTGCGGAAATCGAGAGAGCACATCAGGTAAGTAAGCCTCGAGGCGTTTGTCGTTCAAGTGGCAATAAATTTAATAAATTAGTTTTGGATTAACTGAAAAAAAAATTGAAATCACTGAAATGTGAAATATGATGTTTTTACAGGAAACCTTGGCACAAATTCGTACACTCAGCTCCTCGGGCAGTCGTCAGGATATCGAAGCCATAGAAAATTTACAATCTCGTGCCAGAGAATTGGAGAAAAAGGTAAGTTTGAGACATGAGATATTTTGATTGTCATGAACATGGTTAATATTTTACTTGGCACACTAACCAGGGCAAATCGATGGATATGTTTACATTATAGTCCTTTACTGTGATATGTGGTCTAAAAGGATCTATTTGATGTAAGTCTCTTATACGATATGATAGAGCCGAGGTCGTAATGTAGAAAAGGAAGTCCGAAGGCTTTACAATAGGGTTTGCTAGTTTTTAGTATTCCAGGACGACTACCGTACCAAGCTAAAAGAATTCAACAAAACAACTTGGACAGCTAAATTTTACTCCTGGAAACTCATAGGTATTGTTTGTCAAAAGCCGTTAACATATTCAAATTTGAAATTTGAAATAAACGGTGAATAATGTAGCTAAAATCATCAAAAACCGTATATAGGGAGGTACCGTTATATCGGAGCTATACGAAGACCTGGACCTGCATAGGCATTTTTCCGTCACAGGCTGTAGCATCCATTACGAACTTCAAATACGACATCTCAAACAATTTCGGTGAACATTGTACTTAAAATCGTCAAAATACCGAATATAGGGAGGTACCGTTATATGGGGGCTATACGAAGAACTGGACCTGCATAGACAATATTCTGTCACAGACTGTAGTTCCCATTATGAACTCTAAATACGTAATTTGAAACTACTCCGGTGAATAATGTCGCTAAAATCATCAAAATACCGAATATTGGCAGGTATCGTTATATGGGGGCTAAAATAAGACGTGGACCTGCACAGACAATTTTCTGTCATAGGGTGTAGTATCCATTACGAACTTCAAATACCAAGTTTGAAATAATTCCGGTGAATAATGTCGCTAAAATCATCAAAATACCGAATATCCGGAGGTACCGAGGTACACAGTGTACCGGAGGTACACAGCCCATTAACGAACTTAACCTGCCTGCTGGCAAAATAAACATGCATGCAACATTTTAGTCTTTTATATCAATTCGTTCGAAAGATAGCGTGATTACAACAGACGGACAGACAGACGGACATCGTTAAATCGATTCAGAATTTTACGTTGATCAAGAATATATATACTTTGTTGGGTCTGACATGAGTATTTCGAGGAGTTACAAACGGAATGGCAAAGTTAATATACCCAGCATAGTATGGTGGAGGATCTAAAAACACCACATGACAAACAGTTTTTTAGAGCGCACAGCAGGCCTATTCTGGCTTATGTGTGTGTCTGTAAAGACTTGTAGCCCTTTTTTCAATTTAACCTAATTCCGATAAAGGACTGAAATTTAAACATATCCTACCATGTCAGTTCTATATATCTATCATATTTTTAACCACGTTCTCCTCTTCTAATCCACCATTCTCTTTCATTTTTCTTCCATCTTTAGGCTGCTTTGGAAAATGTCCGGTGCGAAGAACTGCAAATTGAATTATCCGCTGCCATGAAAACCAAATCTGCCCGGTCCAGCAATGAGGCAGATCATCACAACATGGCCGAGATGCGTAACGCCGCCGAAATGAGAAATTTAAATGAAATGCGTAACATTCAAGAGATGCGCAACAATGCAGCGGCCGCCGCTGCTGCTGCCAACGCCGCCTCCAACATGAGAAATATGTCTGACATGCGAAATGCGGCCGAATTGCGAAACATGACCGCCTCGGATATGCGCAATCTAACCGAAATGCGAAACATGTCAGAAATGCGTCAAATGGATATGCGAAATGCCGCCTCGGATATGCGCAGTGCCGCTTCGGATATGCGCAATGCCACATCGGATATGCGCAACATGTCAGATATGCGTTCGACAATTGGCGGCGGTGTTTCGTCGAGTGCGCCACCTGTGTCGTCGGGTACCACCACCTCCGTGACCTGGGCGCCAACGATCGGTCGTGAAGATCAGGGTTCAGAGATCGATATCATAATGGCAAAAATTGAACAGGCACGTTTATCCCTAGCTAATGTATGTCCGTTTCTTTTGTCAAATGTCAAAATACAATTTGTGTGTGTGTTTATCAAGTCGATGAGTGAATGAATGGTTCATGAAGTCACACAGTTAGTAAAACACATGCACCCCGAATATCCCGAAGCTTTCGATGCAAATCACTCGATTAATATTAAGTCAGAAAAAATAGTTTTAGTTTTGATTATTCACATTTTCAAGCTTTTATTGCGTTTGCTTTATTTATTCCACGGAAATATTTTTAATTTTAATAGATAAATCTCATTATGCACACAGAAAGTTTGCGGAGAGAAAAATAAGTTTGATTTGAAAGAAGGGATTTGAATAAGTTGCTGATTCTTCTTTGAAATCCTCTTCCAAAAACTCAATGTCCTTTGTGGAAAGCATTCTATGGGCGAATTGGGACTATGTCGATGTTTTCGATCGATCGATATCGATATTTTAAGGATACTCTCGCCTTAAAGGAGTATTCGATTTAACTCAAACTAAGTACATAATAATATTTTTAACAAACTAAGATCCAGTTCTATCGAAAAAAAATATTAACCTGATATTGGGCTAATAGAGTACCCAATATTTCAAACTTTGCTCATCGTAATACTTAGATAAAACATAGGTCAGGTACGAAAATGAACAATATTTCTCTTCTTCACAATATATCAGTATTTTAAATAATAATAACTCTTTTGAAATTGGAAATCGATTTCCGATTTTCTTAAAATTTTGCACATCCCAGTTTCTTTGTCTATGTTAGAATAAGCGGGAAAATGTATATACTTTCAATTTTCGACAAATCTACATATAGCTCTTATGAAAGGTAAAGGGACCCGGAAAAGAACAAAGAACCAAAGCCAACCTAAAATTCCTTTGTTCCTTTTTTGTTGTTGCAAAATCGTAAGGCTTAATCCCTTTATTGTTGTTTTTATAAAAACAACGTTTTATTAGTGGAGAACGATGGTAATGTTTACCAGGGGGTAAGGCAGTCAATACCTTGGTTTCGGAAAGAGCCACCAATCCTATTCAGTTCCCTTGTTTTTTGTCTGGGACAAACAAGCCAACACTGTTCTATTAATAGACAAGGCACGGTCGACGAAGGGTTTTTGTTGTAACAGACAAAACCAACTTACATGGTTATGCTACCTCGACCAGATAGAACGAAAGCATAACAAGTGGAGAAAGATGTAAATGTTTATAAGTGCGGTTGTAAAATTTAGAAGATTTTTAGTTTTATTTAATTCTTTGGTTCCTCTTCTATTGAGTTTAGGATCTCGTCACTTGGGTAAAAAATGTTTTTTTTTGTCATAGAAGTTACTTTTAAAATAACTTCTGGGGAGAATATCCCAGACAAAAAACAAGGGAACTGATGAGGATTGGTGACTCTTTCCGAAACCTAGGCATTCCCTGCCTTATCCCCTGGTAAACATTACCATCGTTCTCCACAAATAAAACGTTGTTTTTATAAAAACAACAATAAAGGGATTAAGCCTGGGATTGCAACGACAAAATACTATGGTATCCCGAACAAACAAGCCAACACTGTTCTATTCCTTTGTTCCTCTACGAAGAAGCCAGCCGATGACTTTAGCCACTCATAAAAGCCTTTTATGTACTCTCATCTTTATAAATTTGTCTAAATTATATGAAGTTCGATAATGAATATATAGGTTTGCTGCTTCTAGCACTTCAACAAAAATGGTCAATATTTTTGAAAAATCAAACATTTTGAAAAATTAAAAAAAAAAAAACGTTCGCCAGACTTTATATAAGCGTTAACTCTTTTCAAAGTTCCAATTTTGTATAAGTTTAACGAAAAAGTCGATTTTCGATTTTTAAGATCCTTTTAGATTTTGTTTACCTTCGGCCAAAAAATGGATGGTACATTTAAATTTGTCATTCCATTTGCAACTCCTCGTAATATTTTTCATAAACCCTATTAAGTTTCTATAAAAGTACGATCAGCGTAAAAATCTCCCATGTAAAGGCACATCTTCGCCTTTTGGGGCCCTTTATGGGTAGAATACACCCCGCCAAAACTAGTTAATGTTGATCCACTTTTTAATTTTTAGCACTTTGAAGGTTTCGGCCCTTATTTTCCACAAAATCAGCTATTATATGACATTTTAAGTTCACTTTTAGCCATGGCCCATACGGTGGTATCTGCTGATTTTCGGTGTTTTCTCGGTTTCGCATATAATTTCCATTCAATCAACCGGGTAGATTACCTCCGATTTGAGAATATCCTTTTCAGTCATAACTAGGTTTTCACGCTGTGGAGTTTATACAAATATTGCCCCGCTGTTGGGCTTTTGAATTGTTATCATTGCATACGTTTTTTGGGTGTAGAAAAATAAAAGTCCGCTAAAAATCTATGAGAATTGCAAATTGATTCAGGAAATTCGACTTTGCGACTGTAACTACAATCAAAATAATTAACAAAAATGAACTTTTTGAATCATCAATACGTCCACAGGTTAGATCTTACGTATCCCAAGTTGGTTGGTCACCAGTTTCATATTTTTATTGAGGGTGTTTTGAAGCTGATTAAGAACTTAAAACTGTTTTACAAATTTGTTGCACAATATAATTATATTACAGGTATTTATAGCTCAAACTTAAAGTGTGAGCGGCACACCAACCACATTACTGCTTTTAATATTCAATACATTAGTAAAACATTTCAGCTCAGATATATTATGGATTTCAATTTGTGGAAATAAGGTTCTGAATTTTCGCATGCCGTTGATAGTAAAAATTTAATCCTACGTTAGACGTAAAATATACATAAATCGGGGAAGAGACTGGAATAACAAATTATTTTTTTCTTTTTAATTTTAATTTTTAAACCAGCGAGTAAAGGTCAGTTTCCACATCGAGTTAGAGTCATATTTAAAGTGGTAAATTTTACAATTATTATGTTTGCAGCAGATAACAAATTGTGTGAAGCGTCTTAAAATATGTTATAAATACAGGGTGAGATGAAAAAAAACTGCAACCAACTTCAGACTGCTGTCATTTCTAAGCCACTCGTCCGACAGCTGTTAAAATTATTCCAGTGACAGCTCAGCCCCACGTGATAGTGGGATTTCTTTATATTTGGCTGGAAAATTACAAGTGGCTATCGTTAAAATAAATCTTTTGTATCTCGTACCATCGCTCGTTACCGTGATACTGCTAGCGTAGCCTGACGTCAAGGAAGTGGACGGAAGAAAACAGCAACAGCAATATCAGCAGAAATGGTTCGAAAGTATCTTTACTTTCGACTTGATCGAAACCCGCGTCGCAGTGACCGAAAAATGGCTCGTGAGCTGAACATATCGCAATATTCCATTCAGCAAATATTGAAAAATGAGCTCGGGGTAAAGCCATTGACATTCCAAAAAGTGCTAGAACTTACACCGCACCGCACACCGCAAATAGACTCGAAAGAACTAAGGAGTTGCTTTGCTTGTCCGAAAGTGGTGAACCTGCGAATTTGGTTTTCTCCGATGAGAAAAAAAACATTCGATGTCCAGCAGTTTGTAAACAAACAAAATGATCGTGTTTACTTGCCAAAGAGGTCAGCTGAAAATGTGCACCTTCGGTTGGCCACCAGAACTCAAGCGTCGGCCATGGTGATGGTTTGGGCCGCCAATCGACCGTGGCATCAGAATAAATGCCGAATATTATCACGAAAATATTCTGGAGGGTGTATTAAAGCCTTGGGTACTCAAATCTCCGGATACCAATCCATTGGACTATTGTGTCTGGAGTATTTTGGAAAGCAAGGTTGGCACTAAAAAATACCAAAGTGTCGATCACCTCAAGCAAGCGCTTCGCCGGGAATGGGCGAAAATACCGCAGAGCAACATTCGGGCAGCGTGTGATGGTTACATTAGCCATTTGCAGGCCATAATTCGTTCCAAATGTGACCAATTCGAACAAATCTAAACTTATTCTAAAAGTTGATGCTATTTCCGATATTTAAAAAAATGTAAAAAATATGGCGTTTGTCTTTGTTGCAGTTTTTTTATTTCACCCTGTACATATATGTTATATGGCTTTGTGCAGTATATATATTATAAAGTTTAGCGTTACGTTTAAGTTTAAAAAACATTGCAGAGCGCGCTTAAAAGTCTGCTACAAAAGTGTTAAATGTAAATTGTGAAAAATTACATATGACTCTAGCATAATATGGAATGTGGCCTTTATGCAGGCCTTTTTGAGACCAAATTTAAGGGTACGACAATTGACATTTTTTTTTTAATATTTTGAAACAAAATTCTCAAAATTGTTCAGTTTTGGGATTTTCTAAATTCACACAAAAAATGTTTAATCAAGGAAAAACAATTTTGAAGATGAGGGGAAAGGAATTATTCTTTTCCTTTTCGCTGAAGAACTTAACTGGCATTACATTTCCCGTGTCTTGGTCCAGATATTAAAAAACTCACAATTTCCAATTAGCTCTGCAGCAATGAGAAAATTCAGAAGCCTATTTCGTTTTATGTGTGATTCGTGTATTGCAATTTTCTTTGTCACTCTTAAAATCATTCACATAACATTAATATTTTCCCAACAGGATAATCGAGTTTTGGCCGAACTAGAACATCCCCGGACATCAGCAGCATTATCAGCCATGCCATCAAGTTCCATATTGAATACAAATAGCGAATTTAAAACCATATCAAAAACAGGTAACTATCAACACCTAACATCAGAAGTGTAATTCCCAAACGTAATTCATCATTGCTTTGGTTTATTGCAGAACTTGAAGAAGAACTGAATCGTTATAAGAGAGCTGTATTGGGTGGCACGTCCGGCGTAACGGCCGGCACAATTGGTAGCGGTGCTTTAACTGGCTATTCATCGGCCCTTACCTCAAGTCTACCCAATGGCAGTAGTGCACCCGGCGGTGTTGTATCCAGCCTATCGGCAACTACGGCACACGCTCCGGGCACGGGTCTAACATCCATATCGGCTTTAGTGCCAAACTCAATCGGTGGCATTTCCTCGAGCATGAGCAGTCATGCCATAACGGCTGCCGCTGCATCGGCGGCATATGGCGCCGGACATGCGGGTACCTCGACGGTGGACAAGCTGTTGAGTGGAACAAGTGGAATCACTGGCATTCCACCATTGCCGGTAAATATTCATACGATGAAGTCTATGCCATCAGCATTAAGTCAGGTAAACTACCACAATTCTTCAACTTCTTGCTCTAACTAACAACTACAACAACAAGTACCGCTAACTATCAATACAATAGCAATAGCAACAGCAAAGCAATAACCAATCTACTAACCATAACACCCGCTCAATTCACTCCACATCACATCACATCGCATTACAAATCGCTTACTCATTACATGCAACACACATTCACACGCATACACATTGTGTCACCAACCTTCATTGCCTTTGCACAAAAACCTTTCTGTTCGTACATATTTTCACACATTTGTGTCTGATCCATCGCATAGCACATCACATACATATAAAAGAAAGAATGCAAAATTAGGTCTTTGTTCCAACAAGTCTCCCGCCATTCACCGACACCACCACCACCATTCATTCATTGCCTTTTGTCCAAAACCGCAACAAATCAAACACTTCAAACCAACCACAACGCATTATTATTGCCTTATCATACCACCCCTCGTATCTACTCCCAGATTATCAATGCTGTTCTCCGTGTGTACGTATGTATGTATGTATGTGTGCGCAGACATTGTATTGTACATACATCACACATCGCACATTTGTATGGTTGTATGCGTTACTTCTTCTTGTTCTTCTCCGTTACGTTGTAGCAGCCGAACGTTAAGTGGACGTAATGGATGGCGTAATGTTGTTTTTTGTTTTGTTTCGAATTTTGCCTTTGTTCTGGCGCTTCCGTTAATGTTTTGTAAATACCAAGTGCCTACCTAATTGTCCTGTTTCCTTCTGTTTCATTTCCTTTTGTTTTGCCTCTTTAGTCTGGGCAGTTGATATGTTCTATGTTTTTTTTTTCCTTTTTTCGGTTGCGATGTTATCTCAAATATAATTTGATTCGAACGAGATTATTTAATTAATTACATTTCATTTGCTGTCAACGACTTTTGGATATTTTTAGCACAGAAAAGTTTTCGTTTTTCATTTGCACTTGTTTTTCGATGGGCGGAGGCATGCATTTTTAATGGGATGTTATGTCTGGGAGGATTGGCAGGTTATTTTTGGGGGATTTTATGATGGAGGATACAATAATCCATATGGAGCCAGATTTAATTTATGGATCAGCCAGGTATTAACATTTGCTTTTTTATGGATATTAAATAATTTTGAGGATAGCTAAGTTGTACAATGTACATATATATCTTTTAGCGAAATGGAGTCATCAATTCTTTAGATCTGATTTGTCATCCATAGCACTATGGGGCCAATGACATGTTTGTGAGCCAAAAATCACAGGGTCGAGGTAGAACTTCCAAAGTTTGTTTTAGGTTTTGGTTAAAATATATAGCTCCCACATATAAGTTTCATCCGATTATAGATTTGGTTCTTTCAGGTTAGTAATATAAACTCTTTAACAATGATATTCGGTACGTGGTATCAGATACAGCTTAGGAATACTTTTGACAAGTTTGGTCGAAATCGGTTCAGATTTATATATAGCTCCCATATATACTCTCCTCAATTTTTTGTAAATGAGACCCCCAACTGCGCTATTTTGTCTAATTTGGTTGTGTCTTGTGTCATACGATAAAATTCCGTCAAGACTAAAGTCTGCCATATTTGTACTAAAACAACTCCTTTATAGTTATAGCTCTCATACATATGTTTTATGCCATTTTATATCTAAGCCTTCTCAAAGTTGAAATATACCCTCCAAAGCAATGACATTTAGTACGAGAGGTCACTACAGCTTTAACATATTATGTATGGTGGAGGGTGTTTTGAAAACTTCCATCTCTGTTATACATTTTGTTTCGATCTGGCAACTCCTTTATGTAAAAACAGGTATTCGACGCATCCGCAATTTTTTTTTGCAATGGATTTTACATAAAAATGGCCGAATAGCCCCCATATAAAGGTACTTTACTATATTCGGTTTTTGATAATCTTAGCGACATTAGCCACCGGAATTGCATTAAATTTCGTATTGTAAATTCGTAATAGCCACCGGAATTGTATTAAATTTCGTATTGTTAATTCGTAATAGATGCAGCCTGTCACCGAAAATTTCCTATGCAGGTCCATGTCTTCGTATAGGTCCCATAAAATGGTAGCTTCCTATATTCGGTATTTTGACGCTTTTTGCGGCATTATTCACCGAAATTGTTTTAAATTTCGTATATGAAAATCTTAATGGGTACTACAGCCTATGAGAAAATTGCGCATGTATAACGATACCTCCCGATAGTGAAGTTCGGAATTGGTACTATAGCCTATGACAAAAAAATACTTATGCAGATCCACGTCTTCGTATGGCCTCCATATAACGAATTTCATTTGAAAAGTTCCAAATTCCTTTCAAATGGTGTAGGGTATTATAATTTCAGCTTGGACGAACTTAGCATTCTTCCTTGTTAGAATTGAGCGTGCCACATCTATGTCTACATGTGATATTCAACCAATGATAGTGATGGTTTCCATATGATATGTCATAGGTTCAAAACTTTTGAGAGCGAAAAGATCCGTTCCTCAAGGTTATTCACAGTATCCTGCTCTTCAGGAATTCTGATATATGTACCGCTTTCAAAAAGTGTGACCATGTTTATGTATTTCCATATCATCGACTTTATAGCGACAGATAACTTACTTTGTTCTTTTGCAATCTTCGTATTTCTCTCCCTCTCAATACATGCACCACCTTTCTAATTTTCCTCTGCTTTGGTTTTTTCGGTAACGGTTTTATTCGCGTGCCTGTCTAATTTAGAATCTGAGTCTTAGGATGCATTACCCTCGACAATGAAATCAATTTTTGGACCGCAGGTTACTGGAATCGCTACTTGCCACCGTGTGTATTTTCGGATCCAAAAAAGAACATACCTCATTAAAACACTGGCGTATACTATTGTTCTCTAGATGCTTAATACAAAATATTGATACCATTTAAATACTCTGTGTTTTGTAGAGTTTCTCAGAGTTGTAAATTCAGTTACCTCGTCTGGGCGTGGATAATTCAAAAACTTGTCACTCAAATCAAGGAATCATTGCTCTTATTTATATTTGTATATAAGTGTATAAATGCATATATAAATTACAATTCCAAACTTTACAAAAGTAACTCTTTACACAAATATAAACAGATGTAGATATTCAAATTGCCCTAACATATGTCATGTACTTCAGTATACTTTTGTTCAAATATATTCATCTGTTTGTTTTTTAAATTCAAATTCTCAAATGAGATTCTTACATGTTTCCTGATTACATTTTCTCATCCACCCCTAACACTTTTGTTTAACTCTTTCAAGGGTGCTATTTACGGTTATATTGTTCAGTTCTTTATTTTTGTCATTGTTGTTTTTTGAATCACCGTTCGTCTTTGCTTTATTTATTTATTTATTTTTTTTTTTTTGGAATATTTAAAATGCAAATTGTCATCTGTTAAATGTTTAATGTTTTCTTTTCCTGTATTTCCTTTTTCGCTTTGAACATTTTAAATTTTTAATGTTTGCATGCTCGCTACTTACGCTTCTGCTCTTCAAGTACGTCAAGTACATTTGCTGACTGACTGGCTGACGGCGACGACTGTGACTATGAGTACTACTTCTAAAAATGTACCCTAACGAGTACACAATTATTAATTATAAACATGTGTCCATGCGAGTGAAGGAATGCAGAGTGAATGTGGGGGAGTGTGTATGTATGTGTGTGACACAATGCAAATATAGAACAAATATATTTTGTACAGTTGGGCCTCATGGAATGCGGTTATGATTTTTTTTGTTAAAGTGTGGTTTTGAATTTAATAAATTATTGGTTTTATGCGATTGTAGCAGCAAATGCTGAGGGTGTTAATACCCATTAACGTTTTCAATTTTTATACCCTTCACCATTCTATGGAGGGTATACTATCATTCGGTTTGTAACTCCTCGAAATACAGGGTGAGATAAACAAACTCCAACAAAGTCAAATGCCATAATGTTTAACTTTTTTATTTTTTTTTACTTGTTTGGTTAATTGCTTGGCTTAAGGTCATTAAAAAAATATGTTTTTTTTTATTATTCTTCCAATATTTCGATTTCCTCCGGAAATCATCTTCAGGGATCTGTTTTACAAAAACACAAATTACAAACTGATTTTAACAATATATAACAAATAAATAACATACATTTTTAAAGTAAAAGCTCGTCTATTGAGTTTAAATGTCAGTATCAAACTAAGTTTTCTTTCGTCGGTGTTTATGAACTAGGCTTCTGTAAATGTGAGCACAGTGGTCTGTGTCGGTTTTATTATTAATTCGTTTGTCATTTGGTAAACTTATAATAAGTAACATTTCCAAGGTAAATCGTCTTTTGTAATTATTTTCTTGTGCTAATATGTCGACGGCTTTAACGTCGGGTTTATGTCCTATCAATGTGCAATGGGCAGCTAAAGCAGTCTTCTGTTCGAGAGGCTTGTCACTTTTTTGATCCGATTTATGTCCGGAAAGTCTAGTTTTTAATTTTGTCTTTGTCGTGCCGACATATGACTTTTGGCATACGTCAGCGTCGTCCCCATTACATTTTTATTCGTCGGGGGTGTTTAGAATAAATGTTAATCAATCGTCCTGACGCCGTTGGTTTTTGGTACCAATCTAATATAAGTTTTCTTCCTTGTCTGATTATTATTGAGTCCAAATAGGGTAGTCTGTCATTTTTCTCCAGTTCGTGTGTAAATTGTATGCTCGGGTTGAATGCATTTAGGATATTTGATGTGGTGTTGATATCCGATTTCTTCATTATACGAAAATGTCGTCTACGTATTTGGTTACTGATCTCGGCTTTGTCATCAGTTTTTCTAAAGAAGCTTCCAATAATTCCTCCATTACGATGTCGGCAATGATCGGTGACGCTGGTGATCCCATGGGAAGTCCTTTACACCTTGTCCGAGTATATGAAATATCTACAGTCCTTTATGCAAAAGGTCAGTATTTCTTTAAAAACTTCTTTAGGTATTTTCGTGTATTTTTGTAAAATGTTCCACTTTTCATCTATTGTTC